ACATGGTAATTGGGTGTTTCTCCACGGGTCCAGAGTTTTTTTTTATTCAAAACTGTTTGAGAAAAATGTTTAGTTTGAATAAAACAAGTAACACAATATGAGCAGAATTGATATTGGCCATCAATTTCGCGTGCTCTCAGTGCTCTCAGCTCTCGAATTCATTTCTGGTTGTATCTTTTTCGTATTACGTAACCATGTCTAACTCTCTTTCTATCATTGCTAATCGGTTTTCTATGCTAACATTCCCCACCCCTCCTCCTCTTCTATCCATACTCAAATGACTTTGGTAATGACTCAACAACTCAGTGCCTTCTGCTTGACCCCATGCCATTCTTAATGTCCATATATGGTATTCTTATGATAAAATTTGACCTATTTAATATGCGTAGACAGCTGCTGACTGAGAGCACGCGAAATTGATGGCCAATATCAATTCTGTTCATATTGTGTTACTTGTTTTATTCAAATGTATCAAAGGGAGAGGATGATTCCGCTAAAAATGTTTAGATGATCTGCGCATCGATTCGTGATGTATCTTGTTGCTATTAACAACGAGATGGTTTCCCGGAATGATGCGGTAAAATATCTCGGAGTCCGTTTGTCACCCTCTTCAATGGCCCAAACATAATGTAAACGTTTGAATAACAATTGGAAAACTGTATGCAACCAGTTCCCCTTTACAATTTCATGAGAGCAAGAAGAAGCATAATGATCACAGGATGTGTTTTAAAAATTCGGCTATTTAGTGGTGATCTCAGTCACTGTTCTCCTCTCCCCCCCCTCTCCCTCACCCTGCAGTGATTCCGCTCCCTGCTCCAATGTCCAATCCGGGTCATATTAGTAACCTTTGACCTTCGTATTGATTGATTTCTCTTCCCCACGTGTGTGTGTGTGTGTGTTTGCCTGTCCCAAAACCTGTCACTCTTTTAACCAGACGTGATCTGAATACATGTACACAGCTGATCAGATTACCACGAACCGATTGGAAAACTCTCTGCGAATTCCAGTTCACTTAACACGTTGTTCTTTTACACGTGATTATCCGATTTGTGTGAGTGACATCCGGTCATGGAACTGGAATGTTGACCGTTTCTTTCCAACTTGTCATGATTTCTCCCCCGTACAAAATAGTTTGACATAAATTATGATGTGTTAACCAAGATACTGAGAACGGATGATCCGGGATGTGCAATTTGCGTGCGATGAAGGGATGACACAAAACTTGATGTATTTTATCGAGTTGAAGGAAAAATGAACACCATCGAAATTGTGGTTGATTAGAGACGGTTGATGAAAAAATTGTTGTTAGATATGACACCACCAATCATTGACATACTTAAACGGGAAGACAGATTCGACGGGAGTGGCGGCG